TAAAGAATTCTTGGACTAAAATCTACTCTATATTAGGGAATGACAGTCACCTAACACTGAGGTGAAAACAGGACAATCCTGAAAAGCAAATCCTAGAAAGAAGGAAGGCTCTGTTATTAAAATAATAGCCTAGCATTTAACAATCACGGATTCTCTACATGATCTCAGACAAACTCTTACCAAGGTTTCACACAAAAGTCACATTAGTGGCTCTGCCTTGCATGTGACGCACGGTCTATACAGAAGGCCTACACAGACACTTTAAGGCTTTTAATCTGAGGTTGATCGGCCATGATAACTCAACCTAATTTTCCTCCTGTCAAAATAGAGGTTGCTGAGAATCCACAAATCCACAGTGGACACTATACTGAGGAACCTGTGGTTTAGAGAACATGTTACAATCCCAAACATCTGTTTTATATGTATCACATATACATATCCTTTACCTCTGTGCTAAAAGAGATAGGAAACTGCTGCATGTAGCTGGGAAAATTATGCTCTTTCTCCAGGTGCTGGTGGTTAGTGAAATTGATATTTTCTTCTAATGGGAATTTATTATATATTATTTCATTACTTCCTCTCTCCTGTTTTAAATGCACTCCATCCTTCCCACTCTATTACCTTGTCTTCTGAATGTAATTTAAGAGTGTTGGAACAATTACCTTTTTCATTCAAAGTAACTGATAACTGAAATTATTCTGCCCTTGTGTGCATTATTAAAAACAACAACAGTAACCAGGTATGTTCAAAGGCTATATGGTATTCAAAATCCTCTTTAATATTCTCGTTTATAACCTTAATAGACATTTACACGTGATAAATGAGGCTTTTAGTAGCTATTGCTGTCACAGCCACAGCTTGGGTACTGCTACCTCCAACGAATAGTCCAAGGGAGGGTCTTATCACAGCAGTGCTTGAATGGCAGCTGTGATGTAGCAGCCTGCAATATAACTTCTGACAAGAGAAACAAAAAAAAAAAGAAAAAAAGAAAAAAATCCTCGCCTGTAGGATTGCAAATTCCTCTTCTATAGAATTGCAAACGAGTTAAAAAAGCAGAACATGGGAACTGATCACATTAGGGCATATTTGTATTACAGGTCCACAAACAAAGAGATTATAAATGGTTTCTCAATGAGGTCCCAGTGCCATGCTGTGGCAGAAGAACAAGTGAAATCCTTGGATATAAATATGTGGAGAAATAATTTAATTTTTAATTATTTTGAAAACACACAATTTTATCACAGCGTGCAGCATTGCAAACACGAGTACTGAACAGACACACACACAATTCCAGTGTCCTGAAAAAACAAGCAAACAAACAGAAAGGGAAAGAATGCAAACAAAAGAGCCCAAAATTCTTTGCTTTGCCAGCCCACCCAGCTCAACCTCTTTAGCTTACTGAAAAAACACTAAGAGATGACTTGCCTACTGTACGTAAGTACCTCCAAAGAGAAAAATAGCAAGCCCTGACAAGGGATTAATAAGCATGGATTTAATAAAAGAAAATTATGCTTGAACTACCTGACTGCCTGTTGTGGTGAAATGACTGGATCTGTGAATAAGAAAAGATCAGCTGGCATTATCATCCTTGAATTTGGCAAGACTTTTGGTGTAGTCTTCCACAGCATCCTTCTACCCAAGTTAGGATGCTACATTTTAGCTAGGTGGACTGCTAGACTGGTGGAGTTGTTGAGCTCAAGGGGTAGCAGCTAATAGTTTGTGCGCTGTCTAGAATTTGGGCAGTAGGTTAAGGCATGAGCCAGCAGTGTGTCCAGACAGCGATGAAGGCAAACAGCATCCTGGGCAATATCAACAGGACCTCTGGAAGTACATATAGGGGCGTGACTATTTCCCCATACTTGCTATTAGGTACATCTAGAATACAGTGTCCAGTTTTGGGTCCCTCAAAATATGAAAGAACTTGATCGGCTGAAGAGTGCTCAGTGGAGAGCCACCAAGCTGGCCAGAGACTGGAGCACTTGCCTTATGATGAGCAGCTGAAGAAGAGCCTGGAGAAGAGGTGTCTTTGCTGGGGACCTAGTGGCAGCCTATGAACAAGTTGCCAAGAACATGGAGACAGGCTCTTCACAGATCAGCATAGTACAGGGGAAGAGATACAAAGGCCAGGAATTGAAAGAAGAGATGTTCAGACTCAATACAAGGAAAGCCCTTTTCACCTAGAGGTAAATCAAATAGATTACCGAGAGGTTTCATAATCTTCATCCTTGTAGGTTTTGAAGACCAAAGCTTTGAGCAACATGGTCTAATCTTGTACTTGATTCTGCTTTGAGTAAGAGGTTGGATTAGAGACAGCTCCTGAAGTCCCTTCCATTATTCCATAACTGAGTGACTCAGTCTATGAAAATACCATGTACTGTTATTTAATTTAGTGGGGAAAATCATATCAAAAAACACTGACTAGAATATAAGGCCAGATGAACAGAAAAGAAAACCTTTACCACCATACGTGATCAATGAAAGAAACAGGAACATCTTTAATTCAAGCATCCATAAGGAGCTTAACACATAAGCATATTGTGTGAATTATAACGATACACAAAACAAGAAATCAGATATAATGGCAGAATTGTTTTATTTTTCTGTCCATAATGCCTTCGAGTTTAGGAAAAGAGCTATTTGGTTAAATAACTATTTTAACTGACCCTGGTTTTAACCTATAAACTAAGACAAAATCATCATCCATCCAGAAAAGAAATGGAAAAATCAGAAAAAAATACAGAAACAACTTCAAACTTAATATTGTTTGCGTTCTTTTTCCTGTGCAGGGCTTCTTATTAGACTATGGTCTTTGCTCCCAGCCTGCATTTAAGATTAATTCACACTGAGATGTTTAGACCAACTAAAATATTGTTTAGCAGCAAATTCCGTTATTTCTTTTGAGCTCCTTGTAAAAACAAAGGATTCTACGCACACACAGGAATTTAAAGCAGTATCCTATAATCAAGAGTGGACACAAAATAATCATTATAGCATGGCAGCATAATATTAATAAAAGCAAAAAGGTGAGGTCTGCATTTGCTTAGCTTTTAAAAGTTTCTCAAGATCAGCACTGTTCTGCCTACTCATTAGCTTTCCAGGATACAGACAGCACCCCTTCTATTACTCCAATTTAATGTAAATCTTCAATCTAGAACAAGCTCATAGAGTTACTGTCCTTAAGGCAGACTTTTTAGGAACCACATAAATTTACATAAGCAAATATTTGTACCTGGCATGCAAGTAATTTAGAAAGTTATGTACTGTACACTGAAAAATCTTCAGATGTTCTCATTTTTAATTTAATTTGGAATATAATTTTGATTTCAAACAAAGGACAATTTTCTCAACCAAAGAAACATAGCAGAAGCTTGACATTTAAAACAATTACTTTTAAAAATTATCAGAGTGTAAACCAGTGTTTGAACAATTTTTAAAAGGCTGAAACATCTTTCCTCTTGCTAAAGTAACTGCAAAAGTCAAATGTTTTTCAGCATGCCAAAATAATATGTATACCTACTGACAAACACAAAATGTTCGTTTTTTTAAAAAAGCTACAAAGTAGCAAAAAATAGGGTTGAAATCCATCACTTTCTAGCCTATCTAGCTGAAGTATCATTGCTCAACTTCTTTAAGTCCAGGAAAAAAAAGTTTGTCAGAAAATTTAAATGCCAGAGAATTTTAAAAGGCAATGTACTGGTTACTCCAAATCTGCTTATAAAAAGTGCTAGTTACACAACCACAAGTCAATGTATACACAAACTTGAGGATATCCACTTGAAGAAAGAAGAGAACAGAAAGATATTCCAACTATAGCTGCTAACCAAGTGGCACGCAGAGGGATCTAGGCTCAAAACTGATTTTATGTATAGAAATACTTTAGGTATTAACTGATATTTTGCGTTCAGCCTCCTGGCACAACAGGCACAGAGTCAGTGACCAGAACCAACAGTCTTGATACAAGAAGAACAAAAGCAATAAGAGAGCCTCATGTGCTCACAGGTTTGGGGAATGGAGACAGTTATAAAACTAATCAGGAGCACCTTGAACAGTTCACAGAAACAACTTTTAAAGCAAGACATAACATCTTGCTACAAATATCTAAAAAGAAGCAGGCAGATGCCACCACTTGGCTGTAGCTCCTAGAGAGGAAGAACTAGAAGCAATGCAACTATTTTCCTATCTTCTCTAGTAGAAGAACATTATAACTGAAATCAGATCATCTGATCTCAAGCCTGTTCATTAGTGACTGGGCTTTATTGTAAGGTGAGGGCAAAGCCCGAGAAGACGTTTCTGTGGCACAGTAAGTCCTACTCTGAGCTCTTCTTGGCATTTTACTGGCTGCTCATCACAATCTGGTTTAGCCCTTATATGTTAATGCAGTCCTTACAAAAGCCAAATTTGGGACATCCATAGATGGACATGATTGTATCCTGCCCATCCTTATAAACACGTTCAGACTCCTGGTGAAAAAAATTGAATTTGTGGTAAACTTAATCTCTCATATTCACTCTCCTGAGAGCTCTTAATTTGGGACTAGCTAAATTCTTATTCCAGTAGCACAGACCGTGCACAGTTTTGTACTGAAAGCAGGCTTAGGCCTGGACTTGTCAGGTATAATCGACACTTCCTCTGAAGATTAATCACTGCACAGTTGAGATGAAATGCTCACACTTTTGTGCACACAACCAATGTGAGCAACGTTTAAACACCAAAAACACAGGGAAACAATGAGCAAGGGGAAACCTTTGTTGTTGCTATTGCACTTCTCAACATTTTTCAAAAAGAAGAAGAAAATCAAACAACTGCTGCCAGCAATTACCTCCTCCTCCACAGTGAGAACATGGTAAGAAAGGCCCTTTGTTCAAATCTGCTCTTTGGGAGCCATTTCCTATGCAAGTCAAATCAGCTTGGTACACATAAAACCAGCGATGACTGATTTGTGCTTGTCTGCCCGTACACAAATCGTTCAGCGCCTCCCCCAGCCATCGTTCCCCTCTTACCTTCGAAACTCCCAGCAAACAGATAAATCCAGGTAATGGCTGGAACAAAAAGGACAGTCAGAGAGGCAGCCAGGAATTTCCGTCGCCCTCTGCAGATTCCCAGCATTCTCTCAGGAGTGGAGATTGCCAACTCAGTGCTGTTCCTATGTTGGAAGCAAATAGTCCACAGCCTCCCACATATTAATCCCTGAAAAGGAAAGGGAAAAAGGTATTACCAGCTTATTTCTCTATAGAAAGGGTAGTCTTTGCTAGTGTTCCTATGAGTTAAAACGACAAGTTAAAAGCAGGGTTATTGCAAGAAGAGAGCAGTTCCCATTTTCAACTTCGTGCATATTTTACAATAAAGTAAACTTACTGAGGGAGCACTCTGTGCCTTCATTCAGGTCATCCACGAATAAATTGAACAGGACTGGACCAAGGACTGACCCCTCGGGGACCCCACTAGCTACAGGCCTCCAACTAGATTCTGCACTGCTGATCACCACCCTCTGAGCTCTGCCATCCAGCCAGTTCCTAATCCACCTCACTGTGCACTCATCTATCCCACACTTCCGGAGCTTGCCCAGGAGGATGTTGTGAGGGACAGTGCCAAAAGCCTTGGTGAAGTCGAGATAGACGACATCCACCGCTCTCCCCTCATCTATCCAGCTGGTCATTCCACCACAGAAGGCTATCAATCAGGTTAGTCAAGCAAGATTTCTCCTTGGCGAATCCATGCTGACTACTCTTGAGCCCCTCTACTCAGCCCTGGTGAGGCCACATCTGGAGTATTGTGTCCAGTTCTGGACAAGAGGGCTGTGGAGCTGCTGGAGAGAGTCCAGCGCAGGGCCACAAGGATGATCAGGGGCCTGGAAAATCTGCCCTACGAGGAGAGGCTGAGGGAGCTGGGCCTGTTCAGCCTGGAGAAGAGAAGGCTGAGAGGGGACCTGATCAGTGTCTATAAGTACCTCAAGGGAGGCAGTGAGGAGGATGGTGCTGATCTCTTTTCAGTGGTGGCCACCGACAGAACTAGAGGTAATGGCCACAAACTGAAACACCAAAACTTCCACAGGAACTTAAGGAAAAATTTCTTAACAGTGAGGGTGACAGAGCGCTGGAACAGGCTGCCCAGAGCGGTTGTGGAGTCTCCTTCTCTGGAGATCTTCAAAACCCGCTTGGACGCAGTCCTGTGCCACATGCTCTAGGTGACCCTGTGTGTGCAGGGGGGTTGGACTAGATGAACTCTAGAGGTCCCCTCCAAACTTAAGCATTCTGTGATTCTATGATTCTATGAAAGTAAGTTTCGGAAGTTCCATAAAGCAGAGTAAGTCAATAAAACGCACCTTATCACCTAAACTCACACTAAGTCAATCATATAGAGAGATATTACCTTTACTTATTTTTTGCTGCCCTTTCACACTAAAGAGACTCTGGGTTCTTTGATGTCTATGTGTGGTGGTGGCCCTGGGCAGATAAGAGGAAGACACCTGTACTTCTCAGTCTGCTCCCAAAGAGCAGGAGTCACATGAGTGAATCAATGAGTTGGCTGCAGGCAGTCAAGAACTCAAAACAGAGAATCAAAAAGGGAGATAAAGATCGGGGGTGGGAGGGCATGTTGTTAAAATAACTCAGGAACCATTTTCATTTGCTATATAAAAGGAGAAAAAAGAGGAAAATACACAAAGAAAAGGGGATTCTGAAGAGTATCATTGTTTTTATAAGTAAAAACAGACAAAATCCATAGAATCTTAGCTTGTTCACAATAGTTGTTTCGCATTTCACAGACACAGGGAAGACAAAATTATTTGAGGATTATTATTCATAAAAAAAAGAATATTCCCATACCCATGCAGGCATGTCGCACATAAAGACAAAATTTCTTATCTTTTGCTTTCTTTTGTAAAGTGAGGAAAATATTGATCAGCTGGTATTTAGCTAGAGGTATTAAACAAGGAAAAGAAGATACTGAATCCATGCAAATCTAGTTCAGGTTTTGTGTGAAAGACCTTATGATTTCAGATTTTAAAAAAATCCCTTTAGCAGCATGATATGGAAAGAAATAAAAACTGTGGCAGTATAAGGTGTTTAATAACAGTACCCTTTGGCTTTAGGTGTTTAATAACAGTACCCTTTGGCTTGTGCTTAGACAAGCACTGAAATTGAAAACACCATTTAAAGCATTTCTATACAAACATACTAAAAACGACCACTGTATACACAGAAAATATGTTTGAGCTCTAAACTCCATGTATACTGGAGCGAAAGTCAATTCTGAAATGAAATTGCAGCAAAAAATTAGAGTTTTAAACACGAGAAATAGGCTCAGACAAAGAACTTTGCTGATGGATATACCTGGCTGCAGCAATCAGGAGAACTTGCAGCTGTTCCTCAAACGTTCAGTAGAGCCCACTTTACTACACTATGGTTTACGTGCCACAGTAGTACTCTTGACCTTGGAACTGATAAAATTGAATATAATTTGTCCAGAGCCAGCACAAAAAGCATTACATTGTGTCAGCTTTTCAACTCAATGAATGCCTCACCACAGAGATTTTGCAGGAAATATGTGGACAGACTTAATATTTAACAACTGTGGCATTAAAGTCACTGTGTTAGACAGAGACACACATTTGGTAGATAAATTGTGGAGAACCCTTATCTTTATTCGCTGTATTTGGATAGTGATTACATTTCGTTGCTTTGCCTTACATCACATAACTAGTACGACTACTCTGAAGAGAGCCCTTTACATGCCTACTTGAAAAATATAGATAATTTCCCTGGCTTCTCTGTTCCAAACTCACTATATGTGTATATATTATGAAGGGCACAGAATCACTTACTTCAAATAGATGATTTTTTTTTTCTGTAACAACAGGGAGTATGCACCACTGACATCAATTTCTGCATGTAAAAATAAAACTTTGAAAAGTTGACCTGACAAAGCTGGGTCACTCTCCAGCAGTTAAATTTTGTAACATAACCAGCATTGGTCTCATACTGCTGCTACTAATGAGACTCATAAAAACCCCAGGAAGGAAACTAAGACTCAACACAACACAGTTATGAAATGATGCTGTTACAAGTACAATGATGAAGATTTTCAGGAGAATGATACCCTAACAAATTAAGAAAATATCAGGACAAACACTGAGCTCCCCATTCAGCTGCAATACAGCTGCTGTACAGCTAGGAATACGGCTCATTCAGTTTTCTATGAATTGTCATCCTTCAGAGAAAATAACCAAATAATTCTACACATTCATGCACATCTTTTACCTGACTAAGAAGACATTGGGTAAAATCCTAAAAAGACAAGTAAGCTTGTGATGGATTACTCTAGGAAATATTAATATATTTTATTTATTGGTGTTTAAAACAGAAAACAAGAAGCTTTTTGAAAGAAGTGCCTGCTCTTTTTCCCCAACCCCCGAAAGCAGTGAATAGCTTGCCTTGAGTCTGAAATATTATTTCTCAGAGTATAAAACCACCCAATCTCTTGAATATATTTTTTCCTAAACTAGACAGAAGGTACACATGCAATTCTATAAAAGGTCTATTAATGATAATGAAGATGCTTAGCTTAGAGGAAAAGCCTCAGACTCAATCATTTGTTATAGCCATTTTTTATAAAGATTTTTACCTAATGTGCCATCTCCAAATCAATTCAATGAAAATAATGCAATTCTTTGGTTAGGTTTCCTTTTCAATTCCGCTGGTGTCAGCTTGATATTTTTCATGGAAAGAAAGTGACTGGCAACACTGCGTTGAGCACAGAAATGAGCTTGCTGTTACATTTCAGACCTCTCCCACAGCATCTGCTGCTCCCCAGGCCATGGTCCTGCTCAATCAGACTGTCACCTGCCTAGAAAGTCTTTGAAAGCAGCTTCATAGCACAAGCTAAAAATGAAGCTATTGAAGATGTGACATTGCCAACTAAATCCATCTTTTCAGTGATAAAAAATACCTGAAGACAGTTTAGTTCAGTTAAAAAAAATCCAAGCAGTGTCTCTCCTGAGATGGCTTTCTAAGTCCTAACCAACTGTGCTAACTGAACACAGGTACTCAGAAATAAACAGCATGAAATGTGTTGGAAAAAACAAGGACCCAGAAGTAACTCAACAATCTAAGTGCAGTAGCTAGAGGAGACTGTTGGGTCAAAAAACACAGCCAGTGACTCCTCTTAATCTGTTCCCCAATGGAATATCTGCACCCTTACCAGTTTCAGTGGTTCAGGAAGATCAGAATTAACCTAAACGAAAGCAAGCAGTTTAAAGAATTTCAGGTAAGGGGGCTGCATTTTAAAAAAAGATTTTGTCTTCACTCTTCCAGGCACAACCAGATTTTCTATCCATGCCACGATCTCAGAAAAGCTGTATGCATTTCAGCAAAAGACGTATGTATTTCACTTTACAATTTTCAATGTATCAAATGGAAGGAGAGCTAAGAGCACTATATGTATTTTAGAAATCTAACAAACCAATTAATATCGATAAAGGTAGCTAACTATGTATGTCAGGTATAATACGTCTTGCTGTCAGCAAGGTAGTTTCCTCTGCACTTGTGCAATACAGCCAGTTCAGGAGATCTAAAACTTACTGCATGGGTACAGACCAACAGACACCAGTAACCTCAGAACTCACATCCTCCATGATGCTGTAAGAGTCTAGTAGCTTGGACAACACCTGTGTGACAGGTCATGGTGAGAATCAAAATAAATTGCACTTCTCATTACAAAGGCTTATCTATGACCTTCTTACTACATGGCAATAGCGAACAGAGCGATTTGGTTACCTTAGCATACGGACAAATGTTTCCATTAACTATCTTGTCAGAGCCGTTGCTTTTTTTAAACCAAGGATCATCTCCTCAACGAACTATGAGGCAGCTCTCAGCCAATATGAGCATAACATACATTAAAGCATGTAACATCATACTAATCACAATGGTATTCAGTTTCTAATTTTTTTTTTAATTATGAAATGACAGTTCAACTGTGCTGGACATTCAGCAGCAGTTCAATGGAACAATGCAAGTAATTATGAAAACAAAAATCAAATACAATTAACTAGATTTAACAGCTCTACTATAAAAAGCTTTTCCAACTGCTTCATATATTTCCCTGCATTTGTTGCAGTTCATCTTATCCCAGTAATCTCCCATTTGTTTTCTGAGCCACTGAAATGAATATATACAGCTAAAGCTGTTTCTA